CTCTTTCACTATAAGTTACTACAAGATATTGAATATAGTTCCCTATGCTAAACGGTATAAACTTGTTGTTTATTGGATTTTGTGAGAATCCTCCTGTATTTCGAAGTGAGAGACACTCTGCCAGAGTTCAGTAGGCACTCTGTGTGATTCAGTGGGTTTGTAGATGTAATTCTTGGTATATTTGTTGGAGAAGAAGAGCTGTGAGTCCCTCTACTCTGCCATTTGGCTCCTCCTCTCTCTGTGACAGATGCCAATATTATTCTTGGTCACAGTGGTCATGTAAGATGTTAACATTTGGAGAAGCTGAGTGAAGGATACATAGAAATTCTTTACAGTTTTTTTGGGGGGGCAACATTTTTATGTCTGAAAATTAAAAAATTAGAAAGTCAAAAGAAAAAGAAAGAGGGGAAAAAAAGAAACCAGGAGCAAGAGTTCAGGAAAACAGACTAATATTAGTGATAATAATGATAATGTTGGTAATGATATATGGTTAGTCAATTCATTAAAAACGAATTCCTCCAGTGAGACATAGTGGGAGCTCTGTGTTGGTAACTATTATGTTTCTGGTAGTTACGTAGAATACATGTATAATTAAGAAAGAGAAACTAAAGCTAAGACAGTGCCTAATAATTCTCAGAAAAAACAAGGAAGAAGTCAGGAATGATCCTTAAGGCTGCAGTTATCTTTGTACCAACACACCCAGAGTATGGGTAATAAAGTGCATGTAACATGTTAATACAAGCAAGGAAACACAATTTTATAGGTATTGTTCAAACTTGGTGGAATAGGATTTCTGACTGGTATCTGGAAAAGAAAGGGTAAGCCTGGTTCAGAGAGATACCATATAGAAATAGAGCAGAGTAGTAATCAAATAGTAAGCAAGAAGGTAAAACCAGTCATTCATTGGTGGGAGGGTGAAAAGCATTCTGTGAAAATGAAAGGGAGAAATGAAAGTGATTGCCATTGTGGAAGCATATAAGAGACTGCCTAGATAGATAAGAGCTATGAGTAGTACTTCATAAAACCAGCTCATAGGTGAGAAGTGTTGATCAGAGATAAAAACCATCTGATTATCTGTTGTAAGTTTCATTATTCTGATAGGAACACATTGTATAAGTTTTTGACTCTCTTGCCGATGATTACAGTTCTCTGAAGACTGAAGAAGCAATGAGGTAAATTGCTAAAATAGGCTTAATCCTGGCAATAAATAAAATCTGGATAGCAAGGTGAAAGTGACAAGAATCTTAGGGAAACTGACCAAGACTGATTGGTCTGGATCTGTTAAAGAAAAGAATGCTGGGCATGGGGTCAGATAGGTTAACTAACCTGCAGGGTGTGTGTGTGTGTGTGAGACCTCAAAAAGATCAAAGATAAATATGATCTCTTGACCAAAGTCCAAAAGAGAAAGATAGCTCAAGAGGGTGAGAGATTCCAAAGATAAAATTCAGACCTGTAGAATTTGGAAAATTCCAATGAGAAATTAAAAAGGTAGAGATATCTAATAAATTAAGCTTTCCTTCCAGATTATTCTCTGATGAGCTCAGATTTTTAAAGTACATATATAAATGACAGAGTGAGGGCTAGACTTCCAAGGACAAAGACCAAAGTGTATCACAAACCTCTAGGAACTGAGTCAGAAGGGCTAAAGTTCAGAATAAACCCAGGCTTATAAAATGGGAAGGACCACAATAAAGGTTTCTAATGCTCTATTTAGTGCAGGGCACTTAAGCATAAGGAGCTAGAGCATGTGTGAAAAGAACTGAGTCTTAGTTGACTGTGAGTTGGCAGTGCCAAAAAATGCTAATGAGTCTTGAGTTGGGTCAGGATGCGGGTCATGAACAGATCAGAGGACTTTCAGTCCCATTTGGGCCTCTGCTGATCGGCCCATAGAGCTTTATGCTCACTTCTGGATACCATGTTTAAGAGGACATTAACAAACTAGAACATATTCAAAGAAGGCAGTCAGGAAGGTGAAGTGCCTGTAAATCACGTTGTAGGAGAAATGGCTGAATGAATGAGAGATATTTAACTGGGAAAGAGCTTTGAGTGAAGGAGGGACATCATAACTGTCTTAATAAAGGAAGGATTGTCAGGTAGAAGAAAACAGACATTCTGTATGGAGTCAACACCAACTGGTAGAAGTGTCATGAAGGTAGACTTCAGCTGAACAAGAAATAACTTTCTAAAATGTGAGCTACTTAAAGGTGGAGTGGGTTGCTTTATGATGTGGGAAACTTGTCTCTGGAAATGTTAAGAGATGGGGTGAAATGGCCACTTGTTAGGGACGCTGTAGATGAGATTGCCATGTTGGCTGGGAGGAGAGCTCTGCACCCTTCCATTGCTAAGATCCTGTGGCTTTGTTCCTTTGTATCTGTAAGATTGAATGGACTGAGCATCTGGGTTTGGAAATCTGGGACAAAAGAGGAAGACAGAGGTAATTTGGCCCAGTGGTCAAGAGGATGGGCTCTGGAGCCAGACTGCTAGAGTCAGACACTGGCTGTGCCACTTGCTGTCAGGATTTGGATAAGTTGCTTAACCTCTCTAAATTTCAATGTCTTCAGGTGTAAATGATAATGGTACCTATACCTTGAAGGATTATAGGGACAATTAAATGAGATAATGTATGCATGAACAGTCTAGTACATAGTAAGCATTCAATACATGTTAGGTTTTATTAATCCTAAGAAAAATACTAACTTAGGTTGACTAACTCTGACTTTTAATGAACAAATCAATCCACCCCTGCTTAAGTAGGGTGGTAAGCCAGTTCTCTGTCCCAGATAAAGACCCTACCTATGATCTAGTAACCACATCAGAGACCATTTAAGGAGGAGTTGAGTCTCTAAGAGATACCCCAGAAAAAGCACTCTCATTTTTTAGACTGGGCTCGCATTTGCAATACGGAAGTCTGTAACCTCACACTTGTGTTTGCAGTGTAATTACTGAAGAGAAAACAGTGCTCCTCGTTTCTCTTCCTGTCTCTAGCCTCTCATTTCTATTTTGGCTTCTGGAACAATCTTGCTCACATCCAGTTTTCATCACCTCACCTATGTTGCTCAATAAACCAGTGACTCTCTTTTGCATAGTGGGTCAATCCTAAATTCCTCAGCTTAGCATTTGAAGCCCTGCCCCCCACCCCAAGGGCTGTGTTTCTGGCCCCTTTGGACCGGTTTAGAAAGTGTTTGATGGATCCCAGGCCTGGGGTATTACGGCTTAAAATAAAACAAAGTAACAGTCTTATTGAGGTATAATTATATACAATAAAACTTACATATTTAAAGCATACAATTTGATACTTTTTAACATACCTCTACACCTATGAAATCATCACCACTATTAAGGCTCTATGGAGTGTGTATCTACTTTTACTTTAACCCCCCACCCTCACCCCGTGTACATCTCTCTAAATAAATCTACTTTTACTCAACTGTGGCTCGCTCTTGAATTCTTTCCTGCGTGAAGCCAAGGACCTTCATTTGGCGGGGCGAGCCACAGGGACTCACCTGAGACCTGGGACATGGCCATCCTCTTGTGCCACGCCCCTACTTTTTCCTGTATCATCTTTGGCGACCATGAAGGGATGGGAAGAAAAACGGGCCATTACCACAATTAAGATAGTGAACATATCCATCACCACACTAAATTTTCTTGTGCTCTGTTGTAATCCCTCTCCAAGCAATCATTGATCTGCTTTGTCGGTATAGTTTGCATTTCCTAGAATTTCATATAAATGGAATCATATAGTATGTACCCTTTTTGGGGGGGGGCCTGGTTTCTCTCACTCACAATTTATACACACACACACACACACACTCTGAGATTAATTCATGCTTTTTTTATGTATCAATAGTTCCTTTCTATTGCTAAGTGGCTCCATTGTACAGCTATACCACCTTTTGTTTAGCCATTCATCAGTTGATAGGCATTTGGATCATTTCCACTTTTTGTCTATGATGACACTGCTGTAAACACTCCTGTACAGGTTTTTGTGTGGACATACATTTTCATTTCTCTTGGGTAGATACCTAGGAGTGGAATTGCTGGGTCATATGGTGACTCCGTGCAGAACCAATTGAGGAGTTGCCAGGCTGTTTTCCAGAATGACTGTACCATTTTACACCCCCAACAGCAGGGCACAGGAGTTCTAGTTCCTCCATGTCTTGAGGCCTTTCTTTAGCCACCATCTCCTCAATGTCATTGCTAGTTGCTTCCCCCTCCCCTAGGAGTTTCTTTTCATCCATTCCTTTGGTGGTCTCACTCGACAGTCTCTTGGCTTTAAATGCCATCTATCTTCAAAACTTAGTTCAAGACTCATTACCTCCCAAACTTCCTGCTCATCAGTAGCCCTTCTCACCTATGATTATCCCTTTAATCACTGATTCAGTAGGTATACAAGGGGCCCCTTGGCAATCTTGGACATCTTTGCTACTACATTATCATGCCCTGGCTTATATTTGCTTTGTAATGATAGTCCTTTCATGTATGTAGGTATGTTTTGTTCCCTACAACTGTAAGTTACTCCTGGGTCAGTACTGCATCATACTTCTTTATAATCCTCTTGAAGTACTTAGTCCAGTTTGGTGGTGCACACTGCCAGCCATAAAGTGGAAAAGCAGAACCCTCCCTTCATACCTCTGAGAAAATATGAAGAGCTGGAAGTTCATTTTTAGGAATAGAACTAGAGGTTTAAGATAATTTTTTGCAGCTTTCATAATTTTTAAAAAGTTGTTCACCTCAAGGAAAATAAATAGTAACAAACATGAACTATTCACTATAGGTTAAGAATCTGCTACCTTCTCTAACAGTTTGGGCTACAGATGAGATTTTCATGTGTATTAACTGCTATTCCCTACAAAATCCAGTCTGCCCCAGCAGTTGGAAAAGTGAGTTATTTTGATATATTTCAATAGGACAAGTTTATGAGAGTTTAAAGATTTTGGCCAGTATATATTTAGCCATAGTTTTATAACTCAAATTAGTAATAAATGACCAACATATCATTTTTATTTGGAAAATAAATTTAATAGGGAAAATACTTTCAACATACTGAAAGCCTGTGTGTGTGTGTGTGTGTGTGTGTGTGTGTGTATATAAACAACTTAACATTAGATATTGTTTTTTAGTGCACAGATAACCACTATTCAAAAGGTACAGTTATATAAACTTGACATAGAATCCCTAAGGTGGAATAAACAAGAAATTTGGTTTAAAAAAAATCTAGTAGAGATGATTAGCCTGAAGTGTTTTTGTTTAGTTACATTTTGTGTTTACACATGTGTATGTATGTCAAATGCTCTATTTGATCCTTTCTAGGCAATGGGGACATGTGAGAATAAGTTGACTAAATAATTTATTTTCAGGGTAGGCTTGCAAAGCAATTTAAAAAGACAGAGAATTCAGGCCACTTGAACTACACATGACTTCAACGGAAGAAGGTCTTTTGGGACATAATGAAGCAGTCATGGTATAAACTACCATCCAGAAACACAAAATGTTAAGCCTAAGATGCTTCAAATTTAAAGGATGGTTCTACTATGACAGTGGTAATGTTTAATGTTAAATATTTTCACTTAGTTTCTGATAAGCATAATTTACACTGTGGTGTGTGCACTCAGAAGCCAGCAAAGATTATGAGTTCCAGAACCACTGTTTTGGGAATCCGGGGGTTAATCTGGGTGAAACTAGGCTGACGTGCGTTAGCGCAAGCTGTGAGCCTGTGGTGGAGCTCACAATGTGCTATCTGCTCAGCCATTTCAACTACACGTTGCTTTGAGGAGTCATGGCAATGCCCCCCTTTGGTGTCATGTGAATTACATATTCATATTCAGATTGTAAATTACACATTTCATTACTGCTAGGTTTTGTTCTAAAATCTGGTGGGATGCCATTATAAGATGGTCATATTGGGAAACCTTCTGGTGGCTCAGGTGTTCATAGGGCCATCAGGAGCTCAGAGGTGGTATATGGCTGAATCTTCTCATTTCCAAGAGCAGCAGACAGGAGCACCCTCTCATCACTCCATGCGTGCACAATTCTGAGGCTACATTTATTTCTGATTGTAACATGCCTTCAGTCCGTGCACTTCAAGATCCATTCAGTTTTAAAGAGTTGGTTTTTTAGACTTCAGTTGTCCAGTTTTGAAGAACTTCTTTAATTCCCGTAATTCCTGGGGCTTCAAACTCTGATCCACTCCTGGGGTCAATTTATAGCTCAGGGGAGACATGATGTAACCATTTTGGTAAAGACAGATTCTCTTGCAGAACTCAAAGGTGCTAAACATAACTCCAAAATACGGAACTATCTGTTTACAAAGAAAATGAAAATCATGTTAAAATCTTAAAGAAAAATGTCTGTGCATTTACAATCAACTTGGATCAGGGTAAACCGAGATAAAGGCTGTGGACAATACAACATGGTCCTTTTTGGAATCAAGGAAGATGGCAAAATAAAAGCTGTCTTAGTGTGAGCTGGGGAGAGGAATGGCAGAGCCATTGAAGGGCAAGCCCTGGGGAAGCCTGGGTCTGGGTTAATGTGCATGTAGACAGTCTGACACTGCCTGTCAGCATATGCTTGTCTTTTTGTGTGGCAGGGGTAGGTAATTAGATTTTTATTTATTTATTTTACTGGAGGTACGGAAGATTGAACCCAGGACCTCGTGCATACTAAGCACGTGCTCTACCACTGAGCTACACCCTCCCCCCAACATATGCTTGTCTTGATTGGAATCATTTATGTGTCAACTAGTGCAAGGTTAGTCCACAGTACTTAACCTTTTCTTTTTCTTCTTTTTTTTTTGGTCATGGAGTTTTTTGGGAATATGATGAAAGCTGTGGGTCTTCTACCCAGAGAGATAGATGCACATATGCCCATAGACATATTTTTGCATACAATTTTAGGAAAGCAGGTTAAGCTCCCCTTAGAGTCCACGAACCCTCATGTTGGGAACCTCTAACTAAATGCTCCGCTCCTCTGGGATGGGGTATCAGATGCCCCAACAGTGTGCTGGGTCCCCTCTCTTCAGGGCTGATGGCCAGCTGCATTCATGGGCCTTGTGCTACTGTCAGTGCTAGAGGAGGTGTTTCCATGCCAACTGTAGGGGGAGCAGCAAAGACACAGAAAAGGGTGGAATTGGAAGAGGCAGAGAAGCAGTAGAGACTGACCACTCCTCTCACCTTCAGCAAGTTGGCTGCCAATCCATTCCAGAGCCCCAGGACCCCTTGGGCTTTCACTACCTGCCGGAAGCAATCCACTGCTCCTGAGAAATGGACATCTACTCCTCCACAGTGGGGAAGGTAGGGGCTCTGAGCCTGGCAGAAAATAGAAGATGGGATGAGGCGATTTAGTCACCAGGAAATAAAGGTTCCAGTCAAGTAGCCAAGGTCTCAAGTCTGGGCTCTGGATGCAATATCCTGGCCAAGATGATGAGAAAGAATGGCTGCCATGGGGCTTAACTTGTTCCATGGGCTTAGAATGAATAGTAACTTACAGTAAAGCCATGACACCCCATTCACATATTTGTGGCTATTTTTTCTTGGAAGGAAGCAGCCGTTTGGGACAGACTCAACTTTACACTTAACGCTGCTTCCTAACCTATGCCCTCTGGACATGGTAGACACGCTCCCAGGCCTTTACCCTTTTTAAAGTGTCTCCTATTCCCTTGTCATAACCAATCCCTCCCCAACCAAGCTCTCAAGTAGGGGCCACTTATTTCCCCCATCACAGACGTCCCACGGTTGGGGCAGAGGAAAGGGCATTCTTCCAGTTCCTTTTTCTGTTCCCAGAACCTGACTCCTCCACTCTCCTGCCAGAAGGTCTCAGCTGGGGCTTGTGTGGCTGAACCACACTCCTTGTCACTGCTCTCAGCCACTGACCTCCTGGCCACTCTTCCACATTCACTGAGGACTAGGACACCTGGTGCCTTCTCCTCTCCCACACCACCACTGTAGGGAACTTCAGCATTTACAGTCATAACCCATCTCATACCAAGTTTCTGGACCTCTCAGACCAGAGTATGAGAAACAGAACAAGAAATGGACCAGCTGAGTCTCCAGCCTGGAGTTACAGGTGCCAAAATGATCAGGGGTCTTTGGTGAATGTCTTAATTGAAAGCGTTTACCTTAGCACTGTTTCGACTCAGCCTCCTTTCCTTCTTACTCCATTGGTAAAGAACTGCTGTCAAACAGATATTAAGCCTCCTTTCCCCTTCAAAAGAATCTGCCTAATTATAAGACTTGAAGTTCCTCCTGCTACTGTCAGACCGAAATATTGAAATGAAGAGATTGTGTTCACGCAGGAAATTAGCTGTCTTATTCTGCTATGAGATAATATTATTGATTTATCTCCTGCTGGTGTCTAGAACTGCAAAAAGCCCTGAGTCATGAGTCAAGGTAATAATTTTGCAACCTGGGCGCCCCCCACCACAACTAGAACAAAAGACACTAACCAAGTTACATGAGTTGTATGACAGGTCCATTATAATCAGTTGTGATGAATCAGGGGCATCTATAGTCAATCTCAGAACCTTAATATTCCACATGTCTTTTCTTCACTTTGCCTTCACTGCCAAGCCACCATTGGTGCTCACACGGATCGCTGCAGCAGCTTCCTTAGTTGTCTCTTTGGGACATAAAAAGTTTGAGACTTCTTGTCTTCCTTCTCTATAGAATGGCCAAAGTATTTTTTTTAATCAGATCTTTTTACTCACCTGCTTAAAATAGTTTAATGGCTTTATATAACATTCAGGATAAAAATCTAAATTTCTTACTGTTGTCTGTAAGCTGTAGTGGTGACACAGTGGTAAATATTTAACAAGCAGTTCTCTGGGTGGGGAAGCCCCAAGTTGTAGCATTTGCTGGTTTCAGTGGTGTAAATACTCCCATTGTGGCCGATTCCAGGCTACCAACTGTAAGGTCAATCAGCTCCCAAATTTGCTGCAATTTAATAACCAGCTCTTCTGAGCTAGTGGGAGCTGGCTGTAGCACATTGCTCGAAGGCTCCAGGCCCTACGTGATCTGCGCCTGCACATAGTTGCAGCTTCATCTTGTGCCGCTCTCTTGCTCACATACTACACTTCAATTGCACTGGCCTTCTTTCTGTTCTCTGCCTGATGATGTCTAAATTTCTATCTCCGGCCCCTCTCTCTCCTCTGAGCCACAGGATCATGTAACCAATTACCTACTTGACATCTCCACTTAAAAGGTTAATAAACACCTCCAACTTTATATGTCCCATGCAGAACTCCACCTCAACCCTAACTGTCTGGAGTTGTCCTCATGTCAGTCAATGGCACTGCCATTGACTTATTTGCTCAGGCCCAGAACCTAAGTCCCCCTTAAGTTCTCTTCATCCCTCACCTTTCACTATCTCATCAATCACTAGCTCATGCCAGTGCTCCAAATGTATCCCAAATCTGTCCACTTTTCCTTCTTCCCACGATCAGCATCCCTAGTCCGAGCCACCATCATCTTTCACTTTCACTACAACTGCTTCTAGCTCATCTACCTGCCCGTATTCCCCACAGAGCAGCCAGAGTGACCGAGCAGGCTACTCCCTTGACTTCAACTCTTCAGGGGGTCCCCACTGACCTCAAAATGAAGTCCAAGCTCTTTCATCTGGCTTACTAGGCCCTCCATGACTTGGCCTCCGCCTGCTTCTCAGTCTGATCACTTGCTCCTTCCTGCATTATACTCTATGCTTCAGGTACTTTTCATTTCCACTGCCAGTACTTCTCATCATCTCTCTTGCGTGAGGGCCACAGTTTCCTTACTCAGCCCCCGGTCTCTGCCCTCTCCAATCCATCCTCCACACTGCGGCTGGGTACCATTCAAAACTCAGCAGATATTGTCATTGCTTTGCTTAGCAACCCTCACCAGACCCCAATTTTCCAGAGAAAAACTTCCAGAAGGAAAGTTTTCAAGGAAAACTTAACAGAATTCAAAACCATCTACGATTTGGCTCCCAAAAACTGTCTTCCCAGTATCATTTCCCACTACCACCCCATGATAGTTAGTTGGCTAGGCACCCAGATATTTGGTTAAATACCAACCAGTCTGGATGTTACTGTAAAGGTATTTTTTAAATGAAATTAACATTTAAATCACTCTGAGTGAAGCAAATTACCCTTCATAAATGTGGGTGGGCCTTATCCAATTATTTGAAGGCCTTCAGAGAAAAACGACTGAGGTGCCCTGACAAAGAGGGAATTTGGTCAGCAGTCTGCCTTTGGACTTGAACTGCAGCGTCTCCAGCCTGCTAGTCTGCCCTGCAGATTTCAGATGTGCCAGCCCCCACAATTGTGTGAGTCGAGTCCTGAAAATCAATTTCTTTTTCTCTACATACACATACCCATCCTGTGGGCTCTGTTTCTCTGGAGAACCCTAATACCTACCCCCATACATCCAATCACACTCAGTGTCTCCTGAACACTATGTACACTCTTTCTGATAGACAAAATCCCAGTCACCCCAGGCCAGGTCAGATGGCACCTTATTTTGAAATGTCTTGATGCTGCAATTGGAACTGCTGGTTTCCTTGCCTGCCCCCCCCCACCTTGTCTCTCTCCTTCCTTCCCTGCTCCCTTTTTTCCTTCAAATTTACCTCTCTGTTTTTTTAAAAAATCTTTTATTGTGGAAAATATGAAACATATATGAAAGTTGAGAAGATAGTAAAATTCCATCACCTAGCTTCAACAATTAGCAATGTCTAGTCAATCTTTTTTTCATCTCTACCTCTTGCAAGACATCATTTCAATTCATCTGTTTAATCTTAACTTAATCTAATTTTAATTCAAAATGTCATTTAAATTTAATCATGTTTCTCTAAAATACAATGGCTTCCTAAAATAGAAAATAAAATAATTATGTATATAGAAATATACCATTATTACACCTATAATATTTTTCCTTAATATTGTCATGTATCCAGTCAGTGTTCACACTTCCTTAATTGCCTTAGGATCGTTTTGTAGCGTCTTTGAATTTAGGTTCTTTTCGTGTTTGTGCTCCCTTAGCTATGGCTTAGACCTCTGCTGTGGCGCAGGCTATCTCGTATGCATTATCTGGATGCAGTCTCTGGGCTGGCAGCCAGCAAGCTGATGGGAGCAGGCACTAGGCCTTCCTCACTGTCCCAGCCCTTCAGGATCGAATACCCTTCATTGCACATATCAGGCGCTCATTAAATGTCAAACTTTCCCTCAGTATCAGTGTCACATGTAGCTTTTGCTAAATACAACTGTTTACCTGTGACCAGGCTCAAAGAAGCCATATGGATGGTCATGAAGTTAAAAAATGGCCAATATTTACAGAGTGTTAGGTGTCAGGCATTACACTGAGCACTTGGCATGTACCAGCTCATTTAATCCTCACAGAAGCCTCATGAAATAGGTAGTATTAACTTATTAGCCCTATTGTATAGATGATAAAATGGAACCCATGAAAGGATAAATCTCCAAAATTAGACCATAGGAAAAAAAGCATCAACTTGAATCTGGGTCTGATCGACTCAGAATCCAGCTCTACCCCACTGATCTACACTGTTTCCTGATGCCCAGAACTGAGAATACTACCTTAGCCCTCAATAAACTTGTTACCACACATCATCCTTGAATGAGGGTGCTACAGCATGCACACTGAATGAATTCTTTAGGTGAAGACTGGAGCTCAGGGTGCAGTATGAATACATGCCTCTACAAGGGTCATGCTAAATAGATACCCAGGTCAAAAAGGCAAGCCCGTATTGCTGGTTGCCCCCTGGACTGAATGTGTGTGTGCCCCCAAAGGTCATATGTTGAAGTCCTAACCCCCACTGTGATGGTATTTGGAGGTACGGTCTCTGCGAGATGACTAGGTTATGAGGGTGGAACCCTCATGAATGGGATTAGTGCCCTTGTAAGGAGAGACACAGCAGAGAGACTCTCTCTCTCACTTCCTTATGGGAGGACACAGCAAGAAGGTGGCCATCTGCAAACCAGGGAGTGGGTTCTCACCAGAGACCAAATCTGCTGGCACCTTGATCTTGGATTTCTCAGCCTCCAGAACCATGAGAAATAAGTGTGTGTTGTTTAAGCCACCCTGTCTATGGTATTTCTGTCATAGCAGCCTAAACTAAGTTACCCCCAAAGGAAGAAGGAATGGTAAGGCTATATAGAAGTGCTTCTCAACACTTCACTGCATATTAGGCTAACCAGGGAAGCTTTTCAAAACCATCAATGATTGGGATCCACCCCTAGAGACTGCAATTTAACTGACCTAGGGTGAGGTCTGGACGTCAGCATTTTTGGCAAGCTCCCCAAATGAGTCTGATACGCAGA